AAAGATCTCCATACGCACTTTCCAGTGAGAGAAATATTGACCATTGAAGTATGGTGGTCTAACTTGTGAAGTTCCCTCCTGGAAGAGAGCTCCTGTGATGACTTGATTTCCCATGATCTTTTCTCACAAGCTGTTAAGCAAAGAATAGAATGTGAGACTTGCTCTGATACCAATTGAAAGTACAAGAGGGGGAGTGAATTGTATATTTTTTCAAACTTAAACTCTATTAGTTGACTAATTTACCAATTAGTCGACTTGATGCAATAACCTAACAGTTATAGCAGCAGAATATAAAACACAGAAAGTAAGTGCAGGAATCAAAGACACCGGAATTTTATACTGGTTCAGATTCAATATGAATCCTAGTCCAGTCCCCTTGGGTTGCAAGGGAGTTCTCTTTAGTAAATGCATTTCTTCGAGTACAATGAAAATGATGTGATAGCTCAGTTCCTATAACACTCGTCTTCTTTTGATACAATGCCTCACCAGTATTATACTCTTTTTTTTCTCTGACTTGTTACACAGCAGGTCTCAAAGAACTACAATGTTTGTTTGCAGTAGAATAAAGAGAGAATTTTGGTTTGATCAAAGTATATTTTTTCTAGGGCTGAAAATTGAGTATAAATACTTTGGTGAAGATGAGCAGACGAGATTTGACAACCCAGGGGATTTGATCCTTGGAAAGAAATTGATTCTTTTCAAGAATAAGATTGCCAGCCGTTGTTCTTCCTTAATGAGAGGAGATTGATCGCCTTCCTTCTACAGTCATTGATGGTGAGATTTTACTCTTTAATTGTTGGTCCTTCCATAGTTGGCAGCTCTTGATCGCTTTCCTTCTCCAGCCGTTGAAGATGAGGATTTGCTCCTTGATTGTTGGTCTTTCCAAAATTGGCAGATCAGCTACTCTCCTTGATTTGCTCCTTGAATATGTTGGCCTTGATTGACGACTTAGTTTTAGGCTTTTAAAGATTCTTTCCATCGCAGCTCCACAATCTTTGCCGATTGATATCTTTCCTTAAGCATTCAAATTGGCTTCAACAATCTCGTAGTAGCTCATTGATTCCTTGATCTCTTCTGATTGATTTCCTGCACAAATATATTATTGGCATTATTAAAATTAGATCTAACATGCTCCTCCAACTGAGTCAATTACTGTTGTCATTCTTATTTTCAGAAACATGTGTCTTTAATCTTTATTTGTAATTATGCTCGTGTTTGCACAATTTGTTCTTTCGTGGCCAGCCCTGTAGTTCCTGATGTGAGAAATAGCCGTTGTATTTTCTCAAATGTATTTGTGGATTTTTTTTTTCTTGTCAATTTTCTTTTTTATCTTGATTTGTGTGTCGTGCACTTGTCATTCTTCGTGTGTTCTCAAGTATATTTGTGTCTCGTCTTAGTTGTTTGATTTGGATGCAGGTTTCAACTGTCAGTTGCTCTTTGAGTTTCAAATGCACACTGAAATTCTAATTATATACTCCTACTATTTTTCAGTCTTACCACTCTTCTATTCTTACTTGCTGAGCTCAGTATTCCCTTTGCTTTATAGGAAAAGTTGGAGATGTATAATGTGAATGTAGTTTTTATGCTTATACCTCAATAGCCACCCTAAGACTCTGACAAATACTAATGTCACCTGTGAAGATAGTCAAAATTCGATATAATTTCTTTGTTTTTCTTTCTTATATTAATGAAAATTTCTTGTTCTGTTCATTTCAGGGTCTGTTCTGCTTGCTGACAGCAGTAAGAATGGGACTGTTGAACGTGAGGCAATTCCAAATCGGACACTAAAAGGGTTCAATTGCATCGACATGATAAAGGATGAAATTGAGGAGGCATGCTCTGGGGTGGTCTCTTATTCTGATATCCTTGGCCTTGCAACAAGAGAGGGCATCGTTCTTGTATGAGTTTAGCCTTATTCTTTGTTTCCTATAGTAACTACCTGAAGTTTCTCAAATAAATATTGTTAAATGATCTCGTTGTGCATATTCAGATGTTGCTATTACATAATAAAAACTTCTGATACCTTCTAGTGGTATTATTTGTTAATAGTGCAGTTCTGATAATGATAATACACAATTATTTAAAAACTATTTATCATGGCAAGTTTCTTCTAGATTTGTCAACCAATTTGGCTATTATCAGTGTCTAAATGTAACATGTAGAGTTGTTTGAAGCTTAAGATGGAACAAGTCACGCAAATGGCAAACTTGTCACCATGCTGTTTCATAAGCTCCATTGGACCTACCATTTGTTTTTTCCGTTCACCTTCCATATTCCTACCATCACTAAGAAAGTAAAAAGTAGAAAAAGCTATTCTCGCTCAAACAGATTTCTTTCTAGGAAGAATGCTACATCAATTATCTTATCTTAATTAGAATATCTATTACCTCATCATATATTCTTTGTTTTCAAATACATACCTAATCTCAGAGGCGGATCCAGGATCCGGAGGTTGCGGGTGCCATTATTTTATGCATACTGTATATTCAAGGGCAGATATATATGACACCAAGCGGTGTTACGGAACACCGCTTTGNGGACGTAAAAAGGAGGAAATCTTATAAAATGAAGTAGAGAATTTTGATTTATCTTCTCCATCTAATTTAACTGAAAGACTAGCCTTTTGATGTTGGTAATTTTCTTGATCTCTATTACTTCTCTCTTCTTTGCGATCCTCAATGGAAAATAAAATGTGTGAAGTGTATTCATCCTAAGAATACTTCTCAACTTTTTTTGTTTCCACGAAGTCCACTGAGCTTTTTTATGAAAAATGGAGATGAAGGAGATTGTTAAAGGAGAGGTTAGTTGGTTGTCACTGCCTAGTGCCCTTGCATCCATAAAAGGCCAAGAACCAAACATCTTTATTAACATAATCTCCGGCTATAAGGAAATACATGAAAAAGAAAGTATTGTAGATGGATTACCTTTATGTTGTGTATCATACGTTTTCTTTTATATGACTAATTAAATTATATTTGTTTTTACTAGTGGCCTGAGGAGAGAAATTAATTCTGCAGCTACTGGCCGTCCAATCCAGGATGTTATTCAGACAGACGCAGCAATTAATCCCGGTAACAGTGGAGGACCACTTCTAGACAGTTCAGGAAATCTTATCGGAATAAATACTGCTATATATTCTCCTTCTGGTGCATCATCTGGTGTTGGATTTTCAATTCCAGTTGATACTGTAAGTTGCTGCTTGTCATACAAAAATTTATTTTTCGTCATGCTAAATGAAGCTTTTAGGACAAGTATTGCACTTCTGCATACTTCCCCAAATAAAACAAAATGACTTGGTACTTCCTGCAGTGCAGAAAACAATCTTTGCTTCTACTAGCAGCCTAGCAGGTGCTGTTCTTTTCTTTTCTGAAAAATTATTGATTATGATTCTTACCAATTCAGGTTAGTGGGATTGTTGATCAATTGGTAAAGTTTGGGAAAGTCACAAGGCCAATTTTGGGCATAAAATTCGCACCTGATCAGTCTGTTGAGCAACTGGGAGTCAGTGGAGTACTTGTCTTGGATGCTCCTCCAAATGGTCCAGCGGGCAAAGCGGTATGTTATTATCTGTATTTTTTCCCTTACCATTCCTTAGCAGTCTCTCCTTCCTTTATGTAGTACAATCTTCAGCAGTTTCCTCCTGTTACTTCACTAGAGCAAGTTTGCTTCATGTGGATCTTTTAACAAACGAGTTGCTTAAATTTGTGACTAACATGATAAGTAACTGAAATGAACTGGTTAAATCTTGCACTTGCAGGGTCTTCTACCTACTAAACGTGATTCCTATGGAAGACTAATTTTAGGTGATATAATTACATCTATAAATGGAAAGAAGGTCTCTAATGGCACTGACTTGTACAGAATTCTTGACCAGTGCAAAGTGGGAGAAAAGGTACCATACTTCTATTATGAAATTGCGCATCTTTATCATTGGCTCAGAATTCATATTGACTGTAGGGTGTATCTCCAGTTCTCAAAACTTAGACCGCTTTAAGATGAAAGTAGTCAGGGTATATTCAGAAAGGCACTTTGCTTGCATAGAACTTTGTTAACGATTGTTCAGCTTTTCTTTTTTCTATTTTTTGTTTTTCCAACTTTGAATGATACTATTTTGGAGCATGATAGTGATATCATTCACAGTCAGCTTATATCCATTAGCATTTTTGTTTGAGTTTTCGTGAAATGATTTGAAGGTATGTGAAATGTGAAACTACTTTTCTGGGAATAGTAAAAAGTTTTTTGCTTATGGCTGTTGTCATGCACAGGTGATTGTGGAAGTGCTACGTGGGGATCAAAAGGAGAAGATCCCTGTACTTTTGGAACCGAAGCCTGAGGAATCGTAGTGGCTTGAGTGGGATAAGATTATAGGTGGATATGCATTTCTTGATGAACATGCCAATATTATTGTTGTGTATGAAATGTCCCACAATATTGAATGGTGTATATAGAAAAGCTATTTTTTCTGACTATCGCTCCCAATCCAAAATGTATAAACTCTGGACTCATAGTTGGTCTATTGTCTCTTTTCGTTTTCTTGAGCCGAGGGGCTATGGAAACAATCTCTCTTCCTTCATAAAGTAGGGGTAAGGTCTGCGTACACACTATCCTCCCCAGGCCCCCCTTGTGGGATTTTACTAGTAGTTGTTGTTGTTGTCTCGACTTATAGTAGGTAAAATGGCTGTCCACATTAGTCTTGATGACTGAACTACATCAATCTGGCAAAATTCCCTCTCCTAAATTAGATGAAAACGACTTACTAGAAAGTCATTTAGTTATACTTTAAGCATAAACTGGTTTCTTAAAACTAATAAACAGCTTGATGTAACAACAGAAGGATTGCGAAAGTCTACCATTACTCTATTAGCATTCGAGATACACAAAGAACAACTTGATAAAGAAACTAACTTTGACAAGGAAAATTGAAAACTATAGTCTACCATTATTCTATTAACATTCAAGATACACGAAGAAGAAATTGATAAAGAAACGACTCCTAACAAAGAAATTGAAAACTATAGTCTACCATTTATATGAACATTCAAGATACACAGAAGAACAAATTGATAAAGAAACTTTATCAACTCTGACAACGAAAAGTGAAAACTTTACATAATTTCTACTCCAAATCGTATACCACAAGTTGAGGATCTCAATTCCCTCTTTGCCCAACTAAGGCAATTTTATTTTCCTAGTTTGGTTTTTATCCAAATATACAAAAAGAATTCCCAAGGTGACCACAAAGACCTGTTATTTCATCTTTCTAGTACATTGATCTCTTGATTCTTGAGTAAAATATGAGACATGGTACCAAGAAGTGTTTCCAGTGATTTGGATTTTCTGCTCCTCACTTTTCCTGATTCTTTTAATAACTCAGTTAGTCTCCTTTTCTCATCATCCACATCAGGATTTGCTGTTCCCAGTTTTTCCTCCCTCATTCCAACCACAAATTCTAATATCTCAATTGCATCATCCGTCCTGCACAAAATTAGTGATAAGTTAATTTTTCTGACGAAGATAAAATACAAAACACTATAATATTGGACTCAGATAAACTTAAATGGAACGACATGATCGGTAAGGATTCATATAGTTGACCCTAACTTGCTCGGATTTGAGGCACAATTGTTGACGTTGTAAGAAAAAATATGAACAAAAACATGATATTACCTGCCCATTGCATCATAAGTGCCAGCAAGATTGCTATAGATCCCCAATGTATCTGCATGATACGGTCCACATTCAGTCTCTAAAATTATCCTTGCTTCTTCAAATAAGTCTGCAGCCTCATTAATTGCATAAAGTTGTACACAGGCAAGTCCCATTTGGTTTAAAGCAATACCGAAAATTGCAGACTTCTTCTCTCCAATATCCCTGAATTTTGATACTGCATTTTTCAGGGAATCATAAGAATCCATATATTTCCCCAGAATATAGTACAAGACCCCAATCTGAGCTTCAATTCCCGCGATAATGCTCTGTTGTCCTGGTGAATTTCCATATACTTTTATCGCCTTCTGAAGTAACTTGAGCGCCTGATCAGGTTCGTTCATTGATTCATAGATCACAGATACATCAACTAGGCCGCTTGCTATCTCTTCCGGAGAGCTTCCTGGGATGGCCTTAGTATAAATTCGAAGTGCATTTTCACAGTAAGATTTGGATTCCCTGAATTTTCCTATCTTGTTGTACAAATCAGCCAAACGTACATAGACAGAAGCAATTAAGGGATGGTTCTCTCCTTTGGTAGACTTGAACATAGTAAGAGCTTTTTGGTAAGCACATATAGCCTCATCATATCGTGCCATAGATAAATATGCATCGCCAATGTTGCAGTCGAGTGAAGCTACATCAGCTTCCTGTCCACTGGCTGCCATTGCCATACTTGCTAAAACATAATGTTCAAGAGCAGCTTCGTAATCTCCCTTCGAATCGTAGATAAGTCCCAAAAGTCTTCTATCAGCAGCTTCTTCAGGAGAGGCAGATGAATTATTCTCCTTATGAATGTCAAGAGCCATTTGACAAAGTTTTTCAGCCTCATTAAATTGCATAGCTTGAACATGGGCTTCAGCTACATACCTACAAGTCTCACCAAATCTTGTGTCTTTCTCTCCAAGAACTTGTCTTTGAATTTCCAGGCCAGCAGTATAGCACAGTATCGAATTCTCAATCTGTCCGAGCATTGCATATGTATCACCCAATTGCATGCACCCTGCAAATTTTGCAAGTGCATGATTTTGTCCCACATCCAAGTCAGGAACTTCAATTGATCGCTCCAAGAGCGGAATTGCCTCATTATACTTCCCTAATCGACAGTTTAACGCTGCTACAACGTGCAAACACATAACAAACTCTAAACTTCTCTTTCCCTTCGAAGAACTCTCAAATGATTTCATAGCTCGAAGGGCTAGTTCAAGAGCTTTTTGAAGATTGTCTCCCGTTGAAATCATGTCCCTCGCTTGTTTAAGTAAATATGGTCCTAAGTATCTTGCCTTAGACGGATCCTCAGTTCCATTCTGCATGTTCACTCCTGCCAAAGGCGATGCTACATTCAGCTTTTTCGGATTTGCCACTTTTTTAGGAGATGGCTTTTCATTAAAAGACTTGCTCCTTGATCTTGGTGGCTTGCTAGATATTTGAGAATCATTTTGCAATGGAGAAAACTTCTTTCCCTTAGCAGACCAAACAGGCTTAGGACTTGCAGGAAATACTTTATTAATCTTTCCAAACTTTTCATCATTTTGTCCTTTGTCTTCCTCAGAAACCTCTTTCTTATTCTCCACTTCACCAAAATCTACCCCTGCAAGATATCTTAACTCAGAGTCAATTCTTGATTCCTCACCATAAGATAGAAAGCTTCGCCTCGAAGGTGAATAATCGGAGCTTTGCATTTCATACACATTATTGTATAGTTGCTCAATTGAAGTGTCAACAGCCCCATTCATATCCAAATCAATTGAATCAGTTTCGCGACTATGTGTACTCAACGGACTTCTAGGAGACCCCTGATCAAAAAATTCTCTGTGATGTATAAAATGACCATTTGGTTCTTTATGATTGTCATCTAGAATTGATCCATCCATGACAAATTCCGGCATTAAAAACACCTCTTCCTTCTGCAGACGAAAAACAGAAGGGGAATTGAATTTTGTCAAGTAACAGAAAAACTTAGATAATCATAGTAACAGCTGTTCCTTGTACAGACAAAAACAGAAGGGAAATTAGTTCTTTTTAAGTAACAGAAAATCCTATAGTACAATCTTAAGTTACTTTGTGGGTAATCAAATAATGTAGCAACCTTGACTCTAAAGATTAAACAGAACACCAAGCATTAAATAATACTTAAAAGTGCGTACTTCACTTCCTCAATGAAACAGTATTTAAATAGGGAGTTTAATTTATTATACAATTAAATAGCTCTGTCCCTGCTTGTTAATTAATTACTCTTTTCCCTGTTTCAAACGTAGGAATGTTCAATGCACTTGAGAATTCTCGAGAAAACATATCCACAATCCTTAATAATCGCCATGAAATTGTGATTTTTTTTCCTGATCACTCATTCATGAAAACACAAGAGGATACAACAGGAACAGAGAAAGAGATTATATTTGATCACAAAATGAAAAAAAAAAATGAAATCAAACAAAAAAGAAAAAATGAAGCAAAAATACACCGTTGAAGATGGCATTTAATTCGAATATAACACGGAATTATATTTATATAAAATAAAGGAGTAAGCATGGAATAGAAGTTGGAATTGAATATTAAAAAAATAATTTGAAAATAAAAAGGCATGTTCAAGACAATGAAACGGGAAAAAAAACGCGTACCTCTGTTTGGGTTCAGAGACAAATGCAGAGAGAAACTACAGAGACAACAAATTATAAGGATGTTATATATCGTAATGTGATTGTGTTGTGTATATAAATCTTTAGGGTTAATAAAAGTTGGTGAATTTGAGAAACTTGAGATGGGAGTTAAGATAATTGAAATTGCAGAAAAATGTGAGATGAAAATGGAAAAAAAAAGGAAAGGAAAAAGAGTGGGGTTGCAATAGAGGTTGGAATGTTGAAGAATGAAGATGACTTATCATCTGCCAACCCTTTTTGCCCTTTCCCTTCAACCGCCCAATTCTTTTTGATCCTTTTTTTTAATTATTTCTAATTTCTAATATATGAATTTTCCAGTTTGTGCTTCGCTGTGACTTTGTCATACATGGCGCCATTAACGGCTTTTCAACTCCAACGACTTCACCCCGAATAGTCAAAAAACCCCTTCTAGCCTTGGTCGAGTCGACTAACCCTGTATTTCCGCAAGAAGTTGTTTCAACGGCTCGAATAGGTGACCTCCTGTATTAGGAAATACTCTGCATTTGTATAAATATTTAGTTGCTAATCTAGTACTCCCTCCGGTCCGGTCTATAATAAGTGACCAATTTGTTTCGGACACACCTATTAAGGAAATACTAAATTTTGGACAAAAATAGTTAGTGTGACTAAACTACCCTTCATTAAATATTGCATCATAGTTATAGTAGTACTTACTTCTCTTCTCAAATGTGTGGAGTAAATGATTTTTTAGGGTACGTACATAGGGTAATTTTGGAAAAACAAATTAGATTTTTTCTTGATTATATAAATTGACACTTATTTTGGACCAAAATAACAAAGCAAATTGGTCTCTTATTGTGGACCGGAAGGAGTAACTAATTCGGCAACAAATTCAGAACCCTTAAACTTCAAATCATGGCTACGTTCTCTTCATATATGTTTGTGTGTGTAAGTATAAATATATGGGTAAACGTCTATGAGGAATATTTTTTTGATAGTCTGATAAAAATATTAACTAAATTGCTATAATAAGTTAAACCATTATACATTAGTTTCATAAATCAGTAAATCTTTATACTGTTTTGTGATGAACTTTTGTACTATTGATATATTTTAACTTATTGTAGTAGTAATTTGACCCATGTTTATAGAAGTCACATATTTAGATGACCTGGAAAAATATATATTGGTACAAAAATTCTCAAGAAGATAATCACATGGAGCAACTATTGAAGGGCAAGTACATTTACTCCTTTCACATCTTCCCACGTGTCAAGCTAAATGGTTGCATATTACGTGGCATCAGATAAGTGGTCCCACTGAGTCTACGGTGGAAGGAGAGGGACCAATCCATAATGTAATCAATTTGCGCTATGGTGTGTCGTTAATAGTGAAGGGTACTTGTTCTGTTTCTTCGTTTTGTTTTTGTTTTGTCTTTTTTTTTTATATATGTTTTTTATTTTCGAAGAATTAATTTTCAGTTGGTCCACATATGGTTTTAGTAAAAAGAGTAGTTATTTTGTTTTCTTTTCAAAAACACGTTTTACTTCAAATTTAGCATGCCTGACTAGATTAGCATGTAACTTCATTACATTAAGTATGGAGAATTTTAGCTGGACACAAATTGTATTGTTCTTTCTTCTTAAAATAGAATTTACCATTGTGCTACCACACAATGCTAAGGTCAAGCCTACAGTGTTTAATCTTTCTTTTGTTTTTATTAAATTCTTTCTATGTTTTGATTAGTAATTCCCTAAGATATAAATAAGCTCTTTTAATTATTATTTTATTAAGAGATCACATGCCATACCTTCTAGTTACACATGCATCAAATGTGCGTCGGAAGTCAAAACTGGACTTTGATTTATCTATAAACTTTTAAACAACTAGATTTATAATGTGTCATTTGTTAAGACCGAAAAAATCAGGTGTCATGCGTAAGCTAGCAAAGCAAACCTTGAACAACGATAATCAGACAATAAAAGAGAAATATACCAAAAGAGGCACAAAAATTTAACATAGTTCGGCCAATTGACCTACGTGCACGGCAGAGATGAGCAATCCACTATATAAAAAGAGAGTACAAAATATCGAGAGAACAAAAACACAAGTGAGACACTAACACTTGTCCCGTAAAGTTCTCCCCCTATACACGTCTCTCAAACCCCATATGGCTACATTGTGGATGCTACTGAATGAGAAAGAAGGATCCTCAATTTATAGAAGTCCAAACTTTTTCCTACAATAAAAATGACTAGCAAAATATGGAAGAATTGTATTTTTCTTCTATGAAAAGAAAAACCTAATTATGAAAAATATGTTGTCCTTTCCTTCATGAGATAGGAAAACCAATTATAGTGCAAAAATCTGAACAAACAACTAACATCATTCTCCAAAGAGCTGGTAATATCTGGCTTATATATTATTGTATGTTTTTTTATTTCTATTTTTGGTGTTCATTCCCCAGATAAAAAGTATAATACTTTTGGTTCCGTAGGAACTAAGCCAATTTCCATCCTTTACATTTTACGAGCAACTAACACATAAAATTAATTTAAGCAAAAAAAAAAAAGATAAAAGGTGTAAATTGAAAAAATGAAGGATCTTGTTTCAGAAAGGTACACCGCCTGACGCTTTATCAGGACTAACCAATAGAAAGTCTAAGACTAGAAGTAGTCATAGAAACCACTCAAAAAAAATCTGTCTATCCATACGCATCAGACATCTATGTATAGGATAAAATCTGTTATGCCAAGTGGTCACGTAAGAGAGTAACACGTGGAACCGAAGACAGAAGACAGTCAGAACCGTAGGTAACAATCTCATTTGTTACCGGAGAAAATGATACTCATAAAGACGAAATAAATGCCTGCCACCCGGTAGCATTCAATGAAAAATATTCTATAGTATTAAGTGGCCGTTCATGAAGTGGGGAATGGACATCGTCGGACCGCTGCCACTGGCTCCTGGTAAGGTAAGATTTCTTTTGAATTTAATTGATTATTTTTCTAAGTGGGTGGAAGCATGTCCTTATTAGAAGATCGGCGAGCGAAGATCGACGAGCGCGAAGTGGTGGATTTCTTGTGGGAAAACATAATCTGCGGGTTCGGAATACCAAAAAAGATAGCATGCGATAACAGGCCGCAATTTATCGGCGCAATGATCACAAAGTTCCTTGAATATTTGAAAATAAAGAGGATCACATCTTCATCCTATCATCCGAGCGCAAATGGTCAAGCGAAGTCAACAAACAAAGTGATTATACAAAACCTCAGGAAAAGGTTGGAAGCGGCTAAAGGTAAACGGCCTGAAGAACTACCCGAAGTTTTATGGGCATCCTGAACAACGGCCAAATCGAGCACGGGGGGAAACTCCCTTTTCCCTTGTGTACGGAGCAGAAGCCTTAATTCCGGTGGAAGTAGGGGAGCCTACCTTAAGGTATTTCCAGGCAAGCGAATAAGTGAATAATGAAGAAATGCTGGTCAACTTGGAGTTACTCGATGAGCGCAGGGACTTGGCCATATAAGGATGGCGGCACAAAAGCAGAGAAAGGAAAGATATTACAATCGAAGAGCCAAACTTCGTTACTTTAAAGTGGGAGATCTGGTTTTAAGGAAAGTAACTCAAAACACTCGAGAAATCAACACAGGAAAGTTAGGCCCAACCTGGGAAGGCCCCTACCGGGTTTGTCACGACCCAATTTGACCCCTCCGAAAGGTGTCGTGACGGCACCTAGTCTTTACGACTAGGTAAGCCTAATATTACGGAAAATTTAAAGAAAACACAACGATAAAAGATAAAACAGCATATTGTAAATAACAAGGATAGTGCCACTCGGCATATACAAAAATAACCCAAGACCCGGAATATCGCTAAATCACAAGCTTCTATAATCTATGTAGCTCTATACAAAAGTATGAAGATAAACAAAAAGGAAATCTCTAGGAGAGGGAATAGAAGGGGACTCCGAGGATCTGCGGACACGAGCAGAAATACCTTGATGTCTCCTAGAATCAGCAAGCACGCACTAACCTCGAGGAAGATAGCTCGTACCTGGATCTGCACACGAAAATATGTGCACGAAAGGGCATGAGTACACCACAATGGTACCCAGTAAGCAGAGGCGGATCCAGGATCCGGAGGTTGCGGGTGCCATTATTTTATGCATACAGTATATTCAAGGGCAGATATATATGACATCAAGCGGTGTTACGGAACACCGCTTTGCCGAAATATTTTATTAGATATGTATATATAAATAAAAAAATAAAATAAAAAATATTGGATACGAATACAAAATTTAACGTTATTTGTTGTTATAGTAATTATTTATTTGTTCACTTCTTCAAATATTGACACCACTTATTAAAAATTTATGCGTATGCCCCTAAATAATACTTACAACTAGCTACAAAGACCGAATAAAAATGATGGGTCAGTTCAGTTAGTTTAGGATTAACTGGAATGGTCTTTTTTGACAAAGCAAATAAGTTGGATTTAGGTTTAGTATTTTTATACTTAATTTAAATATATATCTGTAAAAGAAAATTGCAAAAAAAATCATGAAAGAGGGCCTCAAATTAGAAAATTTACTTAAAGGCAAGATTAATACTACATATTGTTTGTTTGATTAGAATAATTTGCCTTTATCATTTTTGGGTTAATTTTTTCATGTTAATTATTGAGTTATATGACAAATATTTTTAAATCAAAACCTTCAACATTCAACATGTTCTAGTCAACTCAAAACGACTATTAATCAAGTTATTCAGTATTTTTTCAAAAGCCAATAGAAAATACGATACAAATTATACTCCAATATATAAAATAATATTATGTTATAAAAAAGAGAGTTATTATATGCTAATACTAAAATCAATACAAAAAGACAGATGAGCAAATAAAAAGGAAGAAAGGGAGGACAAGAAAGTGAAGGAAGAAAAGGAAGAAGAGGTGGGCCCTAGAGCTAAATAAACTAAGAATAAAGAAATCTTAATAAGTAGAAGAAAAGGTAAAAACAATGAAGACGCTATAGTAGGAATCGAACTCGCATCCGTAAGGCCACTAAAACCTCTGGAGTGGGCACTGAACCAGTGGCACCCGAGACTACTTTGTGATTACGGGGTGCCACTCTAACTATATAATCGTTTTCTCACAGCTATCTTACACAGATAATAAAACTTTTACGGAAGCGAGCGGGTGGCGTGGCACCCCTACCTCATAAGGTAGATCCGCCCCTGCCAGTAAGTGCCAAGCCTAACCTCTGTCAAGTAGTGACGAGGTCAGGTCTGGGCCCTACTG